CAACCAGTTTCAACCGAGTCCAAACATCTGAAATGGCCTGAAAGTTGCTGAAACAGCTTGATTCTGCTCGATCACAACATTTTTTTTGTTTGATCTTGATAGTTTTCGTTGATATTAGACACAATTACTATATCTCGCGTAGCAAAAGGAAAAGGTAATGAACGAAAGAAAAAAAACAACCACCAGGATCCTGTGGCTTCTGATCACGCCAATGCAAATGGAGCCACCAAATTGGACCCTTGGACATGTAGTAAATTGGTAGCCATCATGCTGAAAAACTCTGAGCAGATGGACAAGGCTCTGGATTGCTTACATCAATGGAACATTCATGTAAAGCTTGACCTCAATTGGATTGCAAAAAATACATCAACAACTCTCGACATCGCAACACAAACACTTTATACAAGTGGCAATGTATCAGAAGACAATCCACTTGAAGTAAACAAGTTTGTTGTGGTTATAAAAAACAATGTATTTCATCCCCTGTTTCAAATATGAAGCTGCCGACTCTGATCATTTAATGTACTCTTGATTCGTTTTAGATGCTTTTTTTGGGTAAGATCTGTGCTCTCTACATTTACCAGAATGGTAAGCACGAGTGGATCACCAAATCGTCCACTCGATCTAAGCTCTCATATGCATCTACCCAGCTTTACATGTATAAAGGGAATCCTGGAGCGTGTAGTTTTGAAGAAAACTTTCCAAATCGCCTCATATTCTCGCATCTTGATATAGCAGATATTCACTATGTGTTTCCCCCCACCTCATCAATGAATATTACTGAACCCGAGGCTAACACCATATGGATTCCTCAAGCTTATCGTGCTATGTTAAAGGCTATGAGCCAGAAACAGTACATCAAGGCAATTCTCGAACAACTTGCTGTTGAACACGCTAAAGCTAGAAAAAAATAAGCTATACTTGAATTGTAATATCTAACTTGGTTTTTATTTCTCTCCACCTTATCTAGAGATTTGATTTTGTGTTATTTCTTCAAGTTGTTTCGCTTCATCTCTCCCAAATTCAAAAAAATACCAGTCTCTTTAGTCCCTTTTCTGAAACGTTTGACTGCTCTTTTTCTACTTCTTGATATTGAATTCTCAGACCCTGATCTCCCTCATTTGTAGAGATTCACTTTGATGTTTTTACCTGTTACAGCAGTGGACCGACTGCAGTGGCTGGCCAGGAACTGGAAACACAGTCCCTCCAGTGGCTGGCCAGGAATTGAATTACTCGTTTTTTTTAAAACTCAACTACATAACACTACATAGCTATACTACTCACTAGTTTATTTCTCTCTCAACGACTTCAACTCTTGTGATTCTTCTACCAAATTCCCAAAAAAATATACAAGTTTTTCCGGAAAAAAAATCAAGATGTATAATTGCTCTGAAACGCCCAAAAACACAGATTTTGAGGGTCCTTATGCAGATGGAAGGAATATTGGGACCTTTCTCCGAAAAAAAATGGTCCTTTGTCAACAGGTAGGAATCCGAGTTTTTTTTGTGAAAACCGGCGAAATTTGTGTAGGTAGGAGGGGAAAATTTTGGGATTTCCATTAGGAGGGTATATCGGGGCTTTCCAGGGTCCTGCCATGTGTGCATGAATATATAAATAACTGTTTTATCACAAACAAACTCGCTCAGTATAGCCGCATCATCGTTGAGGACATTTGTCAGGTCTGAGGCCCCAATGTCACAGATTCTGATATTTAGCGCCGGCGAGTGAAAAGCAACCAAAGATGCCGAGGTGATCGTGGCCATCGTTTGCCACTCATCAACCAAAATAGACGTAGTTTTTATCGTGAGGCCACAGTGGTGACATCAGACGTTGTCATTTTACGCTGCACATTTGCACAACCCTGAATGGCTGCTGGAGAGTGGGGACTCCGGATTTTGTTAATCAATTACCTTGGGATTGTTCCTAGCCCGTGACGGTACAATGAATTCCATTCGCAGGAATGAGAGAAGTGACAGACGTAGTGGAGGATATCACAGCAGGTGGCGGGGTGTCACACCTGCCACCCACGAATTTGGAAGTTAGGCAGAGGAAAATTTCCTTCTCTCCCTCCCTGACAAATTCTCCTCCACCGCTACGCTTTGTCACTTGCACAAGATCATATTCTTCGCTCATCTCGAATTTTTCAAATTTATTTAAATAATCTGTTCAAGTTTTTGAACCTCAACTTTGCATTACTCTGGAGCGAAATACTTCTATTTGAATTAACAATTGTGGATGTGGAGAACACTCAAAAGAAACAAACCGACGAATCTGAATCAATCTAAGAAAATGTTAGAAGCAGCAAAGATCAAAGATGAGAAGAAGAAGGCACACGCCTTGCGACTGAAGGAACAAGCGGACGAAAGAGAAAGACGAGCAGGCTCTAGAGATCCCAACTCGAACATCACGCCAGCCACACCGTTGGCTACTACGTCGGTGACAGTCCAAGGAAGAACCCCTTTGAAAGATCAGACCGCCCCTCCCAATTTGATTAGACCAAAAGATACGGGTGACTTACAAGCTGGACACACTCTATCAAACGAGGAAGGAGTAAAAGAAGGGAAAGAGAGTGGAGTCAAAGAGTTGGTGATCGATATCAGTGAAGATGAAAGCAACGAATCGGTTTCATCAACATCAAAAGCATCAGAAGAAGGAAAGGAAAAGAAAGATCCGAAGAAGAAGAAGAAGGCAAAAGGGAAGAAGAGACGGGGGAAGAGTATAGAAGCAGTAGACTTACTAGAGAGCGATCATGCCTCGAAGAAGAAAAAGTTACTTTTTGAAGGGTTGATCGAACACAATCATAGTGAGTTTTCGTTAATGATTCCTTCGTACCCCTCTTCCCCTCCTTAACTTGTCCGACGTGGACGATATCGGCCATCCATAGTTGTAGCATGTCACGACAGCTCCTGTAGTCATTTGGTTGTAGCCCTCCATAGCTCCCGAGGGAAATTTCCTATGATGACCCGGCAAAATATGATAGATGAAGAGGTTCGGACCATAGTTGTACGGTTGTAGCAGAAGAATCAGCTCCCGTAGTTCCAAATGGTAGCAGCCAGCTGGCTCCCATCCTAAGAATCCTAACCAGGAATTAAATCCACGTACCACATGAAGCTTCAGTGGATACAGAGCTCCCACCATAAGTGGTCGTAGCGGTTGGGCCAACATAAAGCCAGATTTGGCCAACCAGGAGATGGATTGTCTGATGACAAACATCCCAGACAGGATTTATATCGTCACATCCCTAGCATAATTTCATTCAATTCAGCCACATATCTCTGAGAGAGAAGGGGAGATTGAACTGACGGCGGATTGGGGTTGATAAATTCGATAGTAGATACGGTAGAACGGTTAGGCCATCCTCCGACCCAGGAGTCGCAAGCCACGTTACCTCCGGAACCTCAGACCGCTTCGGCCGGTAAGGACAATCCGCCCGTCCAAGTCGACACACGCCCCCTCATTGATCGTTTAGCAGCGGCCATCGATGGCGCAGACATGGACCTAATTCAGACCTTAAGGAGAGAAATGGTCTTAGAAGAGGAGTATAACGCTTTAAAGGCAGAGGTGAAGAAATTAGGAGAGGATAGCAGAAGAGAGTCTAAATTGAAGTCCAAGGAAGGAGGAAAGAAGAAGGCAAAGGAAGGAAAACCAAGAGGGAAGGAGAAAGACAGGAAGAAGAAGAAAGCTCACAAAAAATCCAGGAGCAGGAGAAAGAGAAAATCCCCCTCCTCTTCCAGCTCTTCTAGCTCCTCATCGTCTGACTCCGGAAGCTCCTCTTCTTCCTCATCGTCCGAGTCGGACTCGTCCGACTCATCCTCGTCAGACTCAGATTCTTCGAGTTCTTCAGACTCTTCGTCAAATTCGGGAGAAGACAACATCTTCATGTCGAAGGAGAACGTCAGGTTTGAACTGAATGCTATTGCTGGTCTAGACCTACCCGACCTCCCCGAACATTGGGATAAATGCTTCAAGAAATTGAAACAATACGTACCATTGTCAGTCTTTAAACGGTCCTACATCGACGACTACCATTCAAGGGTAGATGATGTGTCGAAGAGAGGAAAGAAAGGTTTCAACTCTACGACTTCAGAAAGAGATCTAGAAAGACAAATGACTTACGGCGATTTCATAATGGCATGCGATTTGGAGGCGCGGTATGCAGATGAACTCTACGGCCATGAAGCTTACGCTAAGTACATCTCAAAGCACAAAGAAGTAGTTAGTCAACTTATGGTACAGCACAAGAGCTGGATGGTAGGATTAAGATACCATTTAATCATTAGAGCTTTAATCTTCAGGAAGCGGTCAAGGATCATGTATAAGAAAAAGAAGAATGGAAAAAGAGGAAAAAAGGTAGAAAAGGTGACCTTACCGGATGGAGTTCAGGTTGAAGCGGCCAGAAGAGCCAAGTGGGACGCCGAAACGGCAGGTGACCTTATGTTCGAAGGGAATCCTTACGCAGTAGGCCAGAAGAAATTCGGTTTTGATTTTTACACCGGCCAACCAATGGTCAAGATCCCGCCGGTAGCTAGTACGTCAAAAGTTACAGATAGTCACTTAGGCGAGAACGAAGGAGGTAGCTGGGGTGGGAGATACAGACCGGATAAAAGGAAACGAGGAGGGAATAGGGGAAGAGGAAACAAAGGAGGTGGTTTTCATCAACCGAAACCCTTCTTCCCTCCCCGAAACTCTTGGGGAAACCACTTCCAAGGTTTTCAAGGCGGAACGATGTATAACCAAGGTTATCAACCATTCCCCCCTCATTACCCGAATAACACGGCATATTCAGGACAAGGAGGGCAAGACTGGGTTGCCCATGGCCAGCAACATGCAAATAAGCAGACAGCAAACCATAAAGGGAAGGGTAAAGCACAGGACAATAGCGCGTGGTGAGCGAAAGTCCTTATTTGGGAGAGAGAGAGTTACAGAACATTACTGACTTTCTGATGGATTTCTACCCCTGGTCCCATTCGTTTGACTTCAACCCGGCGTGGCTCGAAACCAAATTCTAATCACCCCACCCCTTTTTTCTTGTCATACACCTGATGTTCCTAAATCGCTCCGTGCCGTTTGCTTTCTTACCTGTGTCATGGTACGAAGATGTTCCTTTGTTGTCTCTATGTCTACTTGCGCACAAGCGATCGTGTGAAATGAGTCAAGATTGTTGATGAGAAATCAATAAATGTGTGAATTTGATTCTTACATATGCCAACAGACCTAGCCCGTGTGGTCCACGCCAATGGGTCCTGGAGGGAGACCAGTTAATCCTGAGGGAAAATGTGACCCCGAATGAGTCTTGGCCAGAGGAGTTAGACACCTTCGACTCACCACAGTTAAGAAATCCGTCCGCAAAGCCCTTGAGAAAGAGAATGAACGAACCGGTGGTAGAGGAGGGAGAAGAAAGCGAAGGGAGCTCCGCTTCCTCTACGAAGTCTTCTTCCACAGTTGGAAGCAAAAAGGTCCTACCTCTGAAGGAGAGGAAACTGTTCAAGGCACCGGATGTAACTAGATGGCCAACCCCGGTTAGGTGCGAGATGATTCTAGAGAAGTGGAAAGAGCTGATGACGGAAGCGGGGTTGCAGGAAGACATCCCCTATATCCTGGATGGCTTTCAGGAAGGTTTCTGTCTAGGTATCCCACAACATTCGGTGGGTAAAAGAAGATGGTACACGCCCGATAATCATGCGGGCGCACTGGATGTGAAAGACAAAATAGAAAAAACCTTAGCAAGGGAACTTAGAGAAGGCAGGATAGCGGGTCCTTACTCACATGAAGAATTGTACGACAAATTTGGTTTCTTTCGGTCAAATCCGATGGGCAGTGCCACAAACGGTGACGGATCGGTTCGGTTAATAAACGACTTGTCCTTTCCGAAAGGAGACGACGAGATCCCCTCGGTGAACTCATTCGTCGACAAAACGAATTATGAGACTTCTTGGGACAATTTCAAGAGGGTGGCCAGGTTTTTTCGGGAGAATCCGGGAGAGTGGCTGTTAGCGGTGTTTGACTGGGCTAAGGCCTACCGCCAGCTCCCAGTTCATCATAGTCAGAGGAAGTACCTTATCATTAAAGACTTCAAAGGCCAGTTGTGGGTAGATTTGGCGGTGGGTTTTGGTGGTGTCGCAAGCTGCGGGGTTTTTGGAGCCCCGGCAGAGACCTGGAAACGAATCATGATTAGCAAACTTGGTCTCCCTACTATCTTTCGGTGGGTGGACGACAACCTGATCCTTCGTCGCCCAGCACAGAAGGTCTCTCTCACGGACATCACTCACCTCAGCAATTCTTTAGGAGTGAAGACAAACCCCAAGAAGAACCACGAATTCGCGGTAGAACAGAAGTTTTTGGGATTTATCTGGAACGGCAGGGAACATACTGTTAGACTTCCTAAGGAAAAGTTGGAAGAACGCCTGGGCCAAGTTAAAGATATGTTGGTAGTAGGTGGGAATTGGAGGTACTCACAGGTGGAAAAATTTGTGGGGCGGCTATGCCATACCGTCCACATTGTGCCACATATGGCAGCTTATCTTAACTCACTGTATCGGTGGAAAAAGTCCTGGAAGAACCCACAGGCCTCTTGTTCGCTTCCGGAAGATGTGCGGGAAGACCTCGAGGAATGGAGAGTTTGTTTGGAAAAATTTGACGCTTGCAGGATCGTTCCTAATCCGGCCCCAGAAGAGATAGGCTGGGTAGGCGACACTGCGTCGTCCTTCGGGATTGGTGTCCTCGTCGGCGAATTTTGGGCATGCTTCAAGTTCGCCGTAGAGTGGGAATCAGAAGGTAGGAAAGAGAGGAGACGCCGTATTGCATGGGCGGAAACAGTCGCCATAAGACTGGGCCTCTTGGTTCTGAAGAAGGTGATGGAGGTTAAGGGTAGGCGGTTTTGGGTTCACACCGACAACACGACTACAGAACATGCAATTCGTAAGAGGAAGTCAAGAGATCGGGATGTGAATAGTGAATGGAAGTTGATACAACGCTTACTTACCGATTTAGGTTGTGACATTAAACAGAAACGTGTATCATCAAAAGATAACAAGGCCGATAGCCTCTTGAGAGGGAAGCTTTCGGCTGAACTTTTCTGGTTCAAAGAAGTCAGGATTGAGATTCCATCGGACCTGAAGAACCTCCTTTTCCAATTCACTCCAACTCAACCGGAAGAGTCATCATGACGAGAAGAACAACACGCAAATCAACATCGGTAACTAAATTGAAGAAGATAGAGAAAAAAGATGACTTCAAAAAGTTGACCAAACCTTATGGATTGTTTAAGAAAGACGCGTTTGGAGTCAATAGGTCGGAGTCGGATGAAATCCAAAAGCACTTTTTGAGAGGTGCCTGGATGGATGGCACCCTAAAACATTATAACTCAGGGGTGGTGAAGCTACTCCGATACGCTGAAGTAAAGAAGATTGACAAGAGCTTGTTATTACCGATCTCGTCAGAAGTCTTGTTAGGATTTGTTGTTTGGGGTTCGAAGAAAGAAGAAGATCTGGTGATAGACGACGAATCAGTTAAGGCTTCGACCCTGAAATCATATATAGCAGGCTTGAAAGCTTGGCATAAGTTCCACCGGAAAACTTACCCCTACGATAAAGATGATACAGTAGCTTTATTGTTGAAGGCCTCAGAAACAGTGGAGCAGCGCCTACTAGAGGAAGAGAAACTGCGTCCACCGGTGTTGATTTCGGACCTAGCGGTTTTACTCGAACATATCTGTCTCACGGACGAGAAGGACTTAGCGATATTTGCTATCGCCCTGGTGGCCTTTTGGGGTACGGCACGGTTGGGCGGATTGGTCTCAGACGACGTTTCAAAACGGATGCCACTTTGGGGAGACGTGGTCTGGGCGACGGATGTGG